GTGAGTTATGAGTCTACTCTTTTAACCTAAAATCTACTCCTTCAACTTAAAATCTGAAATGATCAAACTTACAATCCAATGTAACCTAATCCAAACTCAACAAATTTGACCTATTTACCAACTCTAATTTTTATTATTCATGATGGCATTTCATGATAATAAGAAATTACCATGTTGATGCTGACAAGGCAATGGATGACAAAATTTTAAAGAGCACATGATATGCCATCCATTTTGGGTTTTTTAATTTAAACTAAAAATATGAGAGGCTAAAACTTTTATATTGTAAGTTAAAGAGTGGATACTCTCATAATCAGTAAGATAAATAGTTAAAACTTTTATATTATAAGTTAAGAAATTGATATTCTCGCAATCAATAAAGTGGAGGGCTGATCAAGGATTTTCGCTGTTCTTTTGGCCCTTAATTGTGATAAAGATTCACGTCGAAGGAAATGAGATATACTACTTTCTAAGCATAACATGCACTGTTTCAATCAATGTAACCTAAAAGGTCTAGGGGACTTGGTCTTAGGTCTTCGAAGGAGGCTAATAAAGTATCCATGGCTGAAGTCCAATGGAGGATGCTCACGGAGAAAGATAGTTTATTTTACAGTTTACGAGTACGAATCATAGCATAGGATAGCCCCTTAACGTCATAGATTTATCCCTCTCTTACGCTTTAAATTGTGTAATTTATTGTAGCCTCACAATATTTTTTTAAATTAAAAAATATTAATTACATTAAATGTCAAAAATAATAATAATTTTTTTTATTTAACCACAAAGAATTTAAATATTCGTAATAAATTAACATGTTAAAATTTTTTTATTAAGAACATATCTGATCAACCTTACATATAGTTTTAATTTTTAATTTTCTCTTAATTATAATTTTAAGTTTGAGAATTTAACCAATAGTCAAAAAAAGATTTTTTTAATATATGTTATAAAAATATATGTTGAACATATATTTATTATATATTTTTATCATTAATTTATATGATATATATGAAAATTAT